GTGAGCATAAGTCAGCACCTCCCAGGCCAAGAGACAGACATTTGCCAGTGCTCTACAAGCTCCTGTGCCCGTTCCCAATCACAGTCTTCTCCTTTCCCCCAAAGATAGCCAGGTCTGACCTCCTTGCAGCCCATGTCTTCTGCCTTGTGGCTGTGCCAGGTCTTTTCTGCCTGGGTAAGTGTGTAAGTGGGTTCAGGAAAGCCAGTTCTGACAGTCTCCCGAGTGTCACGGTTGGAGTTTGTGCTCATGTGGCTGGAACAGGAATGTCTGTAGTCTGAGGCCTGGTGTGCAGGATGGAGGTGGTGTATGCTTTCCTTGCAGGCTGAGCCTTTACCAGGCGGGATCTGGTGTCGGGGCTGGTCTGGGAGCTGCCATCCTGGCCACTGCTGGCACTTCGAGGTAGGTTGTCAGGATCTTCATTCCGAAGCACACACAAGCGTGATCAGAAACCCGGGGCCTGTGGATTCTTGTAACTCAAACCACTGTCACTGTGGGACTGATTGCATTGGAAATGGGTTCCATAAAAAGAGCTGCTTATGTAAGAGGATTAAATGTAGTTTTTAGTATCATAGTGTTTTACAGACGTTCATTTTAACTATGGTATAATAGCAGTCCTTTCATCAAATTAGCAACCCATCGGCATTGTTTTATTTCAGCAGCCACAAGATGGCTTGCCCTGTGTGTGCAGAGTTCCTTCCTGTAGGCATGGGCGTGGTGTGTGGTAAGGGCACCCTCCCGACTGCTGAGAGAATGGTGGGTTTGAAACACTGATGACCAGGGGTTGACCATAAGGCCCAGGGGGTGCACTTTGTCCTGCCTTAAGCACTGGATGTCCCAGGGTGCCGAGTGCCAGCATCTGGTGGGCTGTTTACTAGTTCATCAGGGAAATTATTGCTCTGATGCTTTCTAGGTGGGCATTTGGTGCTGGGAATGAGTTGTCAGGAACTTTACCTGCAGGTTTCCTTTCGACAGGAAGAGCCAGGGCTCACCTAGTAAGTGCGAAAGCAATGACCATGTCTGAGCAGGGAAGTCTGTTTTGAGGATGGTGCCCCTGGAATCATGGGCAGATGCACAGGGAAGAGGGAGACTGGAGAAAACCTCTCCTTTCCTAGAGAATGTGGAGACAGCGTTCAGGCTGGGGCTTAAAGGAGATGCAACTTTACCCTTCTGGCATCACCAGGGGGTTTTCAAAGCACGGTCTGCCAAACAACTGTGTCAACCAGGGGCGAGGGAGGTGGTGGTGGTAGTGGGGTGTGTGTGTGTGTGCGTGTGTGCGCACGTGCTTAGGCACGAACCGGTGCGTGCAGAGAGTGTTTGTCAGAAATGTAGATTCTTGCCCCCGCCCCCCCCCATCAGACCCACCAAGTCATAACCGATGGGTGTAGAGGCTGGGAATCTGCGTTTGAATCAGACAGCTCGAGTTTTGTGCATAGCAGGGTCCTAGAATCTCAGACCTATAAAGTGGCAAGTTCATTTATTCATTTTTATGAGGGGTAAGTTGAACTGGGACTTTGAAAGAGGAAAGAAAGAGTGGTTCTCAGATTGGTTTGTTGATTTGCAAAAAGGAAATGCATATGAACTAGGGTGGGTTTTTCCACGCTCTCTGGGAAAGGTCTCAGGTTTTAAGTCCCCCTTTTTGTCAAATGTCTGAACCCCGGGGGAAGCTACTGTACTCTGATGGTGCCTGAGGGATGTCACTGCTGCCTCTCCTTCCCTGCCCTGAGAGGAGGAGGGCAGACAAACTGCTGGGGTCCTGTATGCGGAGAGGCCCAGGCCCACCTGTAGTCGCAGTGAACAGAGACCAGCTGGTGAACCTTAACCTAGTTGTGGTTAATTTCTAGTTTCAGTTCCTGAAGCAATATGTTTGCTTTGTGTCTTTATTCCTTCCGATCAGTTAACTTAGTTCTTCTCATATAAACTGAGGGTTGGATAAACAAGAAGCATTTGAAGCCCCACGTGAATTTCTAGTTCATTTTCGGTTGACTTTTCATTAAGGTGAACGTCTAAAGTCAGTGTCCTTGGTCGCTGCTTTAAATCTTCCAGTGTTTAAAGATGAAAGATTTGTTACTTTTGAAGGACATTGGGCAACTTCAAGAAATTGGCATCAATTTGACCAACTAAGCACAGTGCATTCTTAGAATTTCAGAATCATAGAAGGTTTGAGCTGGAAGGAATCCCAGAAATGCTCACATCCAGCAGTGCCAGTGGTTAGGAGGTCGCATTCTGGACCCAGAAGGCCCGTGCCCCATTCACGCTCTGCCAGTTGGCACTAGCTGTATTACTCTGTGCCTCAGTTTCCTCAGTGGTCAAATGAGGATGGTGGTGCCTACTTCAAAGCGTTGTTTCAACAACTTGATATCTGCAAAATGCTTGGACTAGGTGCCCAACACATAGCAAACTGCTCGCTCACATGCCATGTAGCAGGGAAGAAACAGCCCTAGTAATTTTGATTTGCCTAAGGTCATCTCATTAGTTCAAGGTTCAGAAACCAGGTCTATTTATTTATTTATTATTTTTCTGAGGCAGAGGCTCACTTTGTTGCCTTGGTAGAGTGCTATGGTGTTATAGTTCACAGCAACCTAAAACTCCTGGGCTCAAGCGATCCTCTTGCCTCAGTTTTCCATTTTTAGTATAGATGGGGGTGTCACTCTTACTCAGGCTGATCTCAAACTTGTAAGCTCAAGCAATGCACCCTCCTCGGCCTCCCAGAGTGCTAGGATTACTGGTGTGAGCCACCCCACCTGGCCAGAAACCAGGCCTGTTTAACTCCTCGTCTTATTTTGTTTTTATTAACTGGGCAGTTAACTCAGTCAAACTGTGAATTGAAAAGTTTATATTTGCCTGACGTAAGCACCAACATTTGTGAAGCTCTGCTCAGTGCTCAGAGACCATCTTCGAATGACAAAATATGACTGAAACATCCAAAGATGAAGAGACATAGCAGGCTTCTTCCGTCTCCATGGTTATGGTCCTTGGCCAAGTGATGCAGCCTTGAAAGATGACATAGGAAAAGTGCGTGGTGGGAAGCTGTATGTGGGCTGTGACCAGAACTGGATTGAAATACAAAATGAAGAGTGGAGGGAACTTCACTAACATGATCACAGTGACTGTGTTCAGGCAAGGCTGGGTCAAAGGGTATGATGCTTTACGTTATTGCTGTTAGATTTCTTGCTGAAAGGGTGGGCCACCAGTTCCATTGGGAGAGGACCTGTATTACTCCATAGATTTGGACTTGGACTTGAAATATTCTTTCCTTGTTTTGCTCGGTGTCGCACATTAACACTGTAATACTCCAGCCATATTCGACTTCTGCAGTTACTAGGTGTGCTCAAATGTGACATGTATTCATCTTTTGTTGGTGGTGTATATTGAGCATTACAATTTTAATACAATTTTTTCCTTTCTTAAAATGTGCATACTTCTTTTTGGTACCTTCCGTACACATACATCCATGGATGGAAGAATATGTGTGCATATAAAATACAAAGAAAAAACAGCGCACGTCCCCACTATGAAATCAAATTCTCTCCGTGCTGTTTGTGCCTGCTTTATTTCCTTCCTTCTACCTTAGCTTTCCTTGTTTAAGGTAGAGGTGTCAGATGTTTCCTCCTATTTACATAGTTGAATTGGAATTACTTATAATTTTACACAGAAGAGAGTAGATTTTCTTATTAAAAACTTCCACGTGATAGAACACAGACTGTCTACACTTTTGTACCTGCGTGTAAGTATCTGTGCAGAGTTCATGCTCTTAGAGTCATCATTTCTCCCTGCTGATAAAATTTTCTCCTGTGCACCGTGGACAGGGTCAGCCTTTTGAGAGAGTCTACTAGAACCTTCCTAATAACAGGGTAGCAGTTTATACTCAGACCTGTGTGTGACCTTGGGTAAGTTACTTAGTTCTATAGAGTCCAATTTTTTTATAAATAAAATGGGTTTAATTCTAGTGTATATCTGGTAGATTTTCCTGTTCAGAGAATTGGCCAAGATAGCTGTGTTTAATCCTTTCTCTTCGTTCCCCAAGCAGCCTGGGTGTCTTTTGTGTGTGGCTCCTTCTTTGGACAGGACAGTAGATGTGGGAACATGTAAGAAGATGGATGATAAGAAAGGACTTGGAATGACACTTTGGGGTACGCCCAGCAGCTGGGAGGGGTGGGCTGTGTGACGGCATGGCTGGCTGTTTGGATATTGTTGCTTAGAGAAATAAACGTAAGTTGAATTAAGAGTGCGCTGGTAAGGCAACATTTGGGGGATTGTCCTGGCCCAACCCTTGTAGTGTCAGTACCAGGCCTTGGCTGTGTGAGGTGCGTCCTGTGGCACGTTTGCCAGTTCCCCTCAGCATCCAGGTCTGTTGTAGGTCAGGATTCTCTTTTCAGGTGTCTTCTGAACGGGTTGCTGTGGGCCAGTCCTCAGCAGCTTTCAGACTAATACATGCAGTTGACCCTGAACAACACAGGGTGACGGGTGTCACCTCCTTCCTATGTAGTCAAAAACCTGGGTGTAACTTTTGACTCTGCCTAAACTTAACTACTAATAGCTTCTGGAAGCCTTACCTACACTACTGGGAGCCTTACCAATTAACATAAACAGTCGATTAACATATATTTTGTATGTTACATGTATTATATACTGTATTCTTATAATAAAGTAAGCTAGAGAAAAGAAAATGTTATTAAGAAAATCATAAGGTAGGGGAAATCTATTTGTTTTTATTATTCATTAAGTGGTAGTGGACGTTCACATTGAGCAGGCTGAGGCGGCGGGAGAGGAAAGGCTCGGCCTGACTGTCTCTGGTGGCAGAGGTGGAAGACAAATCCACGTGTGAGTGGACCCCACGGTTCAAACCTGGGTTGTGCAAGTGTCGGTTGGACTTAGGGTAAAGCAGTGAATGTTAGGCCCAAGGCTTCAAGATACCATGTTGTTGAACATTGACAGAATCTACCTCTCCCGTTAATCCTGAAAAGATGCCAGGTGCCTTTAATTTTTTGTTTATTTATTTATTTTTTGACTCAGCTAAATGGCTTTTTTTTAATTACAGAAAGCCAGCCTTACAAAGAACTTAAGAGTTGGCATTGTGGCCCTTCTTCTTGCCAAAGGTGGGCACAACATTGACAAAGCGCTGATGGTACTGCATCTGCCGCTTGGCCCGGCCGGTCTTCTTCTTCTTCTTCTCCACCTGTTTGGCCGCCTTGGGACTCTGACCTCTCACTTTCCCTGCATGGGCCGGGGAACCAATACCTCCAAGCACGCGGCCGGCTACTTCCAGAGTTGTCAGGGCCTCCACCCCACACTGGCCCAGGATAGCGTCATCTTCTAGGGTCGTGCCTGCCAGGAGCATGACTTGATCATCTGGGGCAATGCCCTCCAGTGAGGCTTTATCTGGGCGACCGTCTCCTGGCTGGTCACCTCGAGGGTGTAGCTCCTGGGCGCTGATGAAGAGCTGCTTGTTGGTGACTGGCCCGCAGGCCCTGTGGCTGCTACCAGGACGATGGAGTTGAGAAAGGGGAAGGAGGGAGGGCGTGCTCGTCCTCACTGCTGTCACGTCGCTGCTCCGGATGCCTTATATCATAGTTTTAGCTCATTCCAAGTTGCTTATCTTGGATATTTCAGGCATGAAATTTAAGCAGCCAGGGGTAACTTGTTTGCCTTCTGGGGCAGAGATGGGGAAGCTTCCAGTCTGGGAATTAGACTGAGGTATCAGAGTGAGAGCTTATGTAGTGCCCTTAAGTGAAATATCCTTAAGTTAAAAAATCTGAACATACATGGTGATGATGATGATAATAATAATCAGGTTAGTGAGAGTTCATCGAACCATTTACAGGTAATTGCCGTTCATACTTTGAAATCCTAGGGTCCAGTTGAAGAAGCACAGAGGCAGAAAATCTTAGGATCTAGGTTTGCCTCTGGCTTCACCGCATGGTTGCTATGTGACAAGGAGCTTCACTTGTCTGTGACTCAGTTTCTTCATTTTTAAGATGAAAGTAGGCAATATTAGTACCTCCTTTTTAGGTGGTTGTGAGGATTACATAAATAAGCATAAGCTAATTGGCTGGAACAGTGTGGCATCTTCAGTGCCTGTCACAGTGCCTGTCACATAGTAGAGGCTCTCTCTGTCAGTGTTTGTTGAATGAATCAATGGGGTTACTTTGGCAGTTTTGTGGGAACAGACAGGAGAGAGATAAGATTGGTGACTGAGAGATGCATTAGGAGGCCATCGCCATGGGCCCTGGGGACTTCCTAAGCCAAAGGGTTGGAGAAGAGACCAAGTCAAGAGCTAGGGTGTGTAGGCATGGCAGTGATGGATCTCATTTGGGAATGGAGGAGAGGGGAGAAGAGCAATATTGGAATATTTTCTGTTTCTAGCTTAGCAGTTAGGTAGATGGTCTTTCCATTCAGCTAAGATAAACAATCCTCAGGCCGAGTGCAGTGGCTTATGCCCGTGATCCTAGCACTTTGGGAGGCCGAGGCAGTTGGATCTCTTGAGCCCAAGGAGTTCGAGACTAGTCTGAGCAAGAACAAGACCCTGTCTCTGAAAAATAGCCAGGCATTGTGGTGGGGGCTTATAGTCCTAGCTGCTTGGAAGGCTGAGGTAAGAGGATCTCTCGAGCCCAAGGGTTTGAGGTTGCTGTGAGCTAGGGCAACAAAATGAGACTCTGTCTTAAAACAAAACAAAACTAAGAAAAGATAGAGAATCCTGGAAAAAGGATAAGCTTTTTTTTTTTTTTAATAGCGAATTGTATGTTACTACAACAAAAGAACAATTTATTTCTGAAAGTCCTGTTAATCTGAGAAATAGTTTCTCAAAGGCTCTACGTAACCCTCCCTGAAATGCTGATTTTAGTTTGAGGTCAGATTACTTAAAATGTTTTAAAAGCTAGCCATGCAGGAAGGCTTTGGCCTCCAGGGAGTTTGTATCTTTAGATAGAGAGATTTTCCTATATCTGGGAACTAAACCAGAGTTTCTGAAGGTCTGAATACTTAATTAGCTTCTCAGTATCTTGAGTTACTAACAAAATTAATATTTTAAGGTTGAAGTTCACAGTTCTCTCTTTTAATGCCTTCTTGTATAAGGATGGGATGGTCTTTGAAGCAGAGGCCTCAGCTGCATCCTTTATTCCACCGCCACTGCTCTGGATTCACTGGTGAAGCCCAGTAATTGCATCTTCTGGCCGGCTCCGATAAGCGGCTTATTTGTGATCCGGGTCCTGCCCTGTTTCTTTAAGGCCGCAAAGACGGAAGATGGTGAACTTCATGAAATTCTGAGTGAACTGCTGTGCAGATATGTTTTGGAAGTAGGTAGAATGACTGGTACGTGAATCCTAATGTCACTTGGATGAATTTAGAATGATTTTAGATATTTGTTAATTAAAACCCCTTACATTTGAGGTATGTGACGTTCATCGCTGATTACAGTTCATTCCTTTGCTCTCGCATAATTTTATCTCCCTCATCACCTGCCACATGGGATGCTTTTGTCTCCTTTCTTCCTGAGGCTCAGGCTCCTTTGGAGGGCTGAGATGCTGGCATGATGCCGGTGACACCTGCTGGTGCGGCTGCACGTCGGGAGGCTCTGGCTTCTTTCCTGTGTAGTTGGAGGTGCCCAGGACCTCTGGGGACCCCATCTGTTAACTGGAAGGTGTTGGCCTAGAGGCTCTTGGTCATCTCCTGGCATTGAAATTCTGTCCTAACTGCAGTTAGTAAAGAGAATGCGGTGGATCTGAATGTCCCGATGTGGAAGGATGACATGTCGAATGAGAAAAGCAACTTAGTGAACATTTTGTGTGTCTAGAAAAGGAAACGTAGTGAGCTAATCTGTTAGCAGTTGGGGAGTAGAAGGAAAGGGCTTTAACTTCCTAATTTGCATCCCTTAAACTAGGTTTTATTCGCTCATGTGACTCTTACAATTTTAAAAGAAAAGCAACCAGGGAGTCAGTGTGTCTGGGATCCTCTAGATGTGCAGTGCTGGGGGCAGACACTGAACCTTCCTGCCGAAGACCCCACACCCTTGGTGGCAGCGGCTGACCTCAGCCGAGACGTTGGCTGTGCTCTGGGATTGGCTGGGTGCCTTCTGGCTTTTTAGACCCACTCCCGTCACCATTTGCCCTCCCTGTCTGGTTTCATTGGCTTTCAGATTTACAACCTCTATTTGCAAATGAAAAAATAATGGAGGTGCTTCTTAAAAATCACTAATATTTAAAGTTTTCATTAGTTTAGGCTTGCTTAAACTAGTAGGCCTTAATGAGGTTTTGGTGTGTCCCAGGGCAGTCTCTCCCTGGCAGACCAGGGCAGCAGGTGTTATATTGCTGTGCGTAGTTACTCACATGGACATGTGCTGTGTGATTCCTCATCTTTTTTCTGTGTGGCCAGTGGTGTGAATTATTTTTGTTTTTTTCCCAGCCCCTTAACTGGGCTTGTTTTTGCTGTAACTTCTTAGCGTGACCTGTGTCTCAAGCTTCCCATTGCCTGAGGACCCGCAGTAGGCGTAGTGATCAGTGTAGACAATCTCAACTCTCACCAACTGCCACCGGAGACCTTTACTCTGTGCTGCTGGCAAAGTTTTTTCTCTGCAGCCTCCACAGACGACTCAAGACTATTCAGAGTTCTTTCAGTCCTGGAGTTGAGCTTTGCCTGGACACCTCCTGGCCTTAGCTATTGCTTCTTTGCTGTTCCTGATAGTACAGACTTTTAAACATTTTACTTAGTGTTAGTACCTAATAGTTGTGTATCTGATAGGGTACATGTGATGTTGAGTTACGGGCATACAATGTACACGAATCAAATCTAGGTAATCGGGGTATCCATCCCCTCAGGCATTTGTCATTTCTTTGTGTTAGGAAGTACGGACTAACTTTGGCATTTGGGGATGAGAGGGGGTGGGAAATTTGTTGGTCGTATGGTGTCACTCTTTCTTCATCTTCTGTGACTTGGGAACGCTTGCTGAAGTGAAGATGTGTCTGTCCGTGATCTGTCTCTTGTGCGCCGTTGGTGAGTACCCGTCTACCCTGGACGGCCCCTTTGTTTACCTTTGGTTCTTAGTCCCAGTGTCCTAAGTAGGTCTCTCTCTTTTTGGAGTTAGTAGCAGAGATTTATTAAGAGCATCTGCAAGCAGATGGGCTGCCACCAAAAATGGAAAACGGCGACAGTCCTGAGTAGGACTTGATCACGTTTCTTGTGTATCTCGTCATCTCATGCACATGCGAGTCTTCGTGGCCCATCCTGCTTCACCAGGATTCTAAAGAGAATATGTAGATCAGGTCATTTGAGCCATGAGGGGAGTTTCCTATAATTTTCTTAAGAAAATTCTGATGTTCAAAAGAATAGTGATGATGGTATGATCTTCCACCCACCCCAAAATTTTTTTTTTTAGAATCTTTCTACCTTTTTATATCAGCCCTACCTTTGGTTCCTTTACACTAAAGAGTGAAGTACCTAGGTAATAAATAAAGCACTGACTTTCCCAGGAATACCTCCATTTTAATAGAAGGCCCTTAAAAAGCTTTAGGGATCAAAGCTCTAAGTCTCAAGCCCCTCTTGACCAATCGTGACCCAGTGTTTTGGGTAGGATGTTGCATGGTGGCTCCTGGGTAGGCTGGAGACCCTGCAGGGCATGGCAGGTGGTGCCAGGTGGTGATGGAGACTGGTAGGTGTGGTGGGAATGGGCTGTGAAGACTTTTACATCACATCAATACCCTTTATCTCCCCTTCCGTTTCAGGTGCCTTGTGTACTATTCTGTTATTGGGGCTTATCAAAATAATTCCATCTGTTGCTCAGAGCCTAACTCAGTATTGGGACAAAGATAGTCAGGTGGAGCATCAGCAGCCTATACCTTAGAGGAGGCCTTTGTTGGCCCTTTGATGTAACTAATGTCGATGGCCCATGGAAGAAGAGTAACTTTTAGGCTTTTTAACGAGTGACATGACTTTAACACATCACATTGAACACATGTCTTGGAGCTCTCTATTAGCTGTCAGAAGTTATCAGGTCAGATACCCAAAAGGAGTGGTTCAGAGAGGCAGGCACGAACTTTTCCACCTGCCTTACCTTGCTGAGGTCATTTTAAATGCCCTAAGACAGAAACTGAGTCAAGATTGGCTGTTTGTCAAATGGAAAATGAAAGAATCTCAAGAAATTTAGCTTGAGGAGAGAGTCGATTTTTTTTTCTTCTTGCCTAAATAGTAGCAGTAGTCTTATAATAAAAGTTTTTTAAATTAAGTTTTCATTTATTTATTGTACAGTCAGGAACTGTACTAAGTGCTTTTATGTATGATCTCATCTAATCTCCCAAACAAGTCCATAAATATCATCCCATTTTACAGATGAGTTAACTGAGTAAAAAGAGAATAAGTACCATGACCAATGCTATTTATTTAAGTAGTAAATATTAAAGCTGGGATTTGGACTCAGGTATTTCAAGCTAGGTGCAGAATGTTAACCTCGTGAGTATTCTCTTTCCCTTAAGTGGATGATGAACCTTGGTGACCAAGGCTAACTGGATAAGGCTAATCTGATCTTTGTGTGAGAATATTTAAGGGTGGCCTGGATTACAGCACCATGGATATGCTCATTTCCTATGGCTCCTGTACAAATTACCACAAACTTAGTGATTTAAACAACGTAGACTTATTTTCTGACAGTTCTGGAGGCCAGAAATCCAAGATTTTACTGCTCTGAAATCAAGCATTGGCAGGGCTCTGCCCCTTTGGCAGGTTCTAGAAGAATCTGTTCCTTACCCCTGCCGGGCTAGGTGGCTGTCTCAGTCTCTGTTTCTGCCTTCTCCTCTCCTGATGTTAGGTCATTCTCTGCCTCCCTCTTACAAGGGATACCTTTGATTGGATTTAGGACCCACCAGGATAATCTCCCCATGCCAAGAGCTTTACCCTAATCACATCCGTCACATCATTTTTTTTGCCCTATAAGGTCACATTCACAGAATCCAGGGATTAGAATGTGGGTATCTTCCGGGGAGACATTATTCATCTTACAGTGGCAAATAGAACTTCCAACCTGTCTTGTTGGGAGTATGCTTAATTTAAACAGTTCTCTGTTTTGCAATACATAGATGTTAAAAACTTGAACAAATTCTGTGGTCTAGCTGATTGGAGAGTTGTGTAATATATCCGTCTTTTTTTTTTTTTTGAGACAGAGCCTCAAGCTGTCTCTCTGGGTAGAGTGCTGTGGCATCACAGCTCACAGCAACCTCCAACTCCTGGGCTCAAACTTGTCTCCTGCCTCAGCCTCTCAAGTAGCTGGGACCACAGGCTCCCGCCACAACGCCTGGCTATTTTTTGGTTGCAGCCGTCATTGTTTTTGGCAGGCCCAGGCTGGATTCGAACCCGCCACCTCAGGTGTATGTGGCTGGCGCCTTAGCCACTTGAGCCATAGGCGCCGAGCCAGTATATCCATCTTTAGGGCAAATCACAGGCACAGTGAAGGCTTTGAGAATTCCTATGGCAAAGAAAGCTGCTTAACCTTGTCAAACCCAGGACTCCTCAGACTTAGTTGATTATAAAACACTTCTCTTTAAAGGCTACATCTATTTACATCTCATGCTGTAGGAAGTACTAGTTGAAGTCGTTGATACCTGTTAGTCTCTTGAAGGCATGGAAAGTGTTTTAACTGGCCTTGTGCTACTTAGTGTCATAAAAATACTTCGAATTGATTGGAAAGAACAAAACTGAGATAAATATACACAACTGAGTGATTGGGGGGTAATGTGGATCATGCCTTCCACGTCAGTCTGAGTTTGGACTTGATACTGTAGGCCAGGGATTGGTGACCTATGGGCCATGTCCAGCCCTCTGTCTGTTTTTGTGAAGTGTTACTGGAACAGCCGTGTCGACTTGCATCTTGCACGTGGCTGTTCTAGAGCTGTGATGGCAGAGTAGAGTAGCCTGCAGAACTTAAAATATTTGCTGTCTGGGCTTTACACAAAAAGTTTGCCAACCCCGATCCCTGGTGGGACGTCATTGAAGGATTTGGATGAGGGAGGTGTTATCCTCTGATTTGTGTATGGAATGCTTACCCTGGCAGCTGTGTGGAGGGAGAATTGGAGAACACAAGAGACTCGAGTGGTGCAGAGAAGGAAGAGAAGAGACTGACATTTGGGGCATAAAATCTACTATAGCCTGGGCATGGGGTAAGGAGATGGAGGAGCCGAAGATAATTTTTAAAAATAAGCTTTAGTTTTAGAATAGGTGTAGACTTATAGAAAAGCTGCCCAGGTAGTACATAGAGTTCTGTTAACATCTTGCATTAATTAGTATGTATCTTCATAATTAATGGTCCAGTATTGATATAATTATCACAAGTTATATTCTATTCACATTTACTCTTCCAGGATCCCATCCTATCTAGAGCCCTAGGCTGTGACTGTTTCTCAGACATTCTTTGTTTTTCATGA